TTAAATACGGAATTGATGCACGTGAAGAAAATACATATTGGACGTGATTAAGGGAGCAAGGTGCACGTGGGGAAAAAAACGCGCCAGATTTAAATGTCACACCTGAACGCTCACATCGTTTTAATTATGTTTGAAATTATGAACATTGCTCAACATCATGAAAATTAAACCTTATTTTCAATAAGCAATCCTGAAAAATATTTGGGGGTGCTTAACTTTTTTCCAGGTGTATAGTTTTCCACCAAGACTTTGTTTGTTACACGCCCAGCTAACTTAACGAGCTCTGGTGCTGGGCAAAAGGGCAGTGGCGTGTGTACAGTCCTGATATTATGTTTATTCTCATTGAACACCTGTAGCAAAGAGTTATTATTAGTCTTCTGGCTATGTGTTCAGACATTTCTGTAACTCCAGAAAGTCGCTGCATGTATTCCTTTAGAATAGATTGTACATAAGGTTTTTTGCAACTCTGTAACTTAAAAGTGAACCGTGTGGTTGACTACCCTATTATGGGAGGGAAACTTGTTACCAACTATTGAATTGCTTATCTATGCTTTACAGACTGTGTACCCATAGGGTCTAAGCACGAGTCCTTGATGCTGCTACTGAGTATGGATCCATGAACATTTTTTCTTTTTACCAACGAAAATAGACACTGCAGTGAGAAGAGACTCCACTCTGTACACTTATTTACCATCAAAAGAGCATTTCTTCTCGATGATTGCAAAACCACTCTGAGAGTGGATAATTCATTTCATCCTTACTAGACACTGTTGGCACCTTGATATACGAGGGATATTACGTTAATGAGTATTGGAGCACTTGTCTATGCTCTTCAGATGTAGAAAATCTCGATATGAGACTTTGAGCCTGCCAACGAACATGATCTCCGAACCCTTTTCTTTTCACTGTAGTGGCAGTATGTATTAATAAAGTGAAGTGTCAATTTAAAAAGGGTTATATGCCTGGATGGATGATTCACGAGAAAATAGATGTCTCCATTTTGTCTTTTCTTGCAAGTTTACTATGAATGTTTAGCTATAAACCTAATAAATGATCTAAGATCATAATCCCCTATGTAATATTGGAAGTTTTGTTAATAGATTCTAGAAACATTCAGTTCACGGGTCTAATTGAGTAGAAAGTATACAAGAATCGTAAACTAACTGGAATGTACTAGACTTCTATGAAAGTTAATCTAATCTTAACAATCTAGTATTTTGTGATCCATACATGTTTCAGTTTGTGTTATTCCTAAATATCAAAGGTTATTGAGCTGTCAGCGGAATTTGGCCCTCTAATAAATTTGAAGAGCATAATCCAAATTGTAAGAGGGACATTACTATTATTTCTTTACATGTCTCAACAATTACACCCAGAAGAAGTTATTTTTTGCAAATAATAGTAGGTTTAGATTGCAAATACTTGAGTTCTAGATCACTTAAAACAGAAAATATCTTCTTAATGTACCACCAAGTCTTGAGAAAGAGAATCTTATGAATGTTCATTTAGCTTTCTGTATCTTTACGTGAAGTGAAAGAATAGATAAATTCGTTTATTACTGACTGTTAAGTTCAGTGGCTTACAAAATCCGTTCTTCATTAATTAAGCTAAATTTAAAGTATAGTGAAAATACAACTAATTTGGGGTGTAAAGTATATTCTGTAATAATATACATTATACATTAAATGTGATGGGTTTATAAAATGCGTTCATGGGAAAGAAAAGATATGACTTTTCTTGTAGAGTTTTATATAAGTAAATATAAATAGAGACTTGTATTAGGTGTTCAAACATATTTCTTAGAAACTGATATTAATAGGGTGCAATTTATCATAAAAGACTAAGTTAGACAAATTATTTTCTGACATTTGGTCTTTAATCTGAACAGAGTAGAATTTATTTACTTTTTCGTTAGTGAATTATTAACCTAAGATGAGCATAAGCTATATTTTTCGAATATTTGTAGACTGACCCTGTCTGAACTTATGACCAATTGCTGTCGGTCAGTCACAGTTTGGTATTACTGAATAGTGAGCCTAAAATGTTTTTGTTCTAAAGTATGGTGAACTCAACGAAATACAAGAATCTTTCCATTGCAACCTATGCTAACAATCTTACATAATTAACTGAACAAATAGCAATATGGACGTAATGTAGAAACATACAAAAATTTTATGCCAGCTATTATAAATGACACAATAACTAAATAATCCAGTATTTTATAAAGTAATATGTATGCAGTTTTGTAAATACTATATTAACGCATTTTATTCTTGAAGTTTTGTTCATAACAGTTTCAGTATGTGTGATACTTGTTAAGTCTGTTACTTACATATATTAATATTTGTTTGAAACATATTGTGCTATGATGAAACACAAGTGTTATGCAAGCGTCATGTGAACATTTATTTATAATTTCATGAGATTTTTAATATTTATAACAAATATCAAAAGGTAACAAAAATAGACTTTGGAATGTCAAGATCTAATTCCTAATGTGAGCAAATTAACTTTGACGAATAAATTAATCGAGGGTGGCTATTAGGTAATGAAGATGTATGAGATTTATCACTTTCCTTTTATATACACTCATCTTTTTAAAGATTATATTGATAATCTTATTGAAATAAAGCAGGAAACATATTCTATAATGATAAACATCAAACAGTAAATGTGAGAAATAGTAAAAACAAGAAAACAATTTTACTGATAACCGAATTTTTGTTTAATTTTCCATGACAGGACACATTATGATTATCAACTCTATATAACAAAGTTAATACAACATTTATTACATCACCACCCACTGCCAACTCTTTTATCAACAAATAGTGGGATTGACCGTCACTTATAACGCCCCCACGGCTGAAAGGGCGAGAATGTCAACTATAAAGTTGACCAAAATGATAAGAAATAAGAGATTGAACATTAAGCATGATAGCTGTGAAATTTTTAGATCATATAATTAAATATATAAATGAAAGCTATAAAGTGAACATTAGTTGAAATCTATATGCAGTTCGCTGGCCTGCTAAGGAACTATGGTATCATTGTCCTTGGTCCGCCTATAGAACTATCTACCCTATCAACAATGACCTTAATAAGACCATTCTCCAATAGAATCTTAGTAACACTTTTCCCCTATAGAGGAGACCATCTCCTATGCAATAACATACATGATTAAGTTAATACATTTATACTAAACTTAGGCAATACTTTAAAATACAGTCAATAAAAACATATAGTCTTAACTTGTAACCTATATAGAGACTACAATGTTCATGACATAGTATCTTAGTATTTCATCGACCTCACGACCCTAGCAACACGCCCTTTGGTACCACTTCGTGGAACTATGACATTTTGTCTCTATCGCTTGATGCAGCCAATCAGCACGCGCGTCCAGAGTACCGCGCTAACTATTACTTTTATGAACAACCACTGTTATGGTGTGAATTAAATAAGTGATCTGTAAATAATTTCATTTTTTAAATCACAACCCGGATTTTAGGGTGTGTATTAATAACATCATTATTTATTTTAAAACTGATTATTTATTATTTGAATTAATTTTACTACCATTTATAAGAACTGGTGATGCAGCAAGTTAGTCTTCTTTCCAAAGCAGGTTGAGCAACCACAGTATCATTATTCACTTATTTCCTACTGATGTTTCAGCTCTACACGAACCATCAATTTCTGGTCTAGTAATGGAATAGCCCATTTCTCCGTCTTTTAGCCTTAAATATTTGTATTACTGAAGTGAATTGTAAAATATCTTGGAACTGAACATGTTATTACAGGCCGAGTAGGTCATGTTTAAATGTATAAAAAAAAAAAAACATTGGCCAGAGTAAGATATTACTTCAAAGATCGAGACGAAACTTGGGCTTGAATCAAAGGGCACAATTTGAACTTATGCAACATTAACAAAAAAAGAAAGAAAAAAAAGACGCACTAAATGGTACCTTAATAGGAAAGACGCTCATAGGCATCTTCCCTGCATAAAAATACGAGTTACAGGAATGTGAATGTTCTTAAATGTTAATCACAAAATATAACACTTTCCTAAACCAGTTATTCCTTGCTGTAATTATTACAGGTATCATTAAGCTTTAATAATTTCGGATGTTTCTTGGTCTCTCCAGAATTCGTGCCCTAACCCTTCAGTTCCAATTGAAAATAGCTTTCAATACTGTGTGTATCCACATGTGATGAAAACTAAATGGGGCCTCAAGTTTGTTAAAACAAAGCAGTGCCACAAACAATTTAAAAAGGCTGCTTTAAAAGTGAAGCAATTAACTAGCAACCTTCTTAAACTTGGAAATGTATAACAGAGTTGTCTCAGCACTTTAAAGGTAGTCTTAAGGTATCAATTTCAGTCATGCATGTCCAGTCTTTTAGTACATTTTTCTATCTACATAAAAAGACCACAGGCGAGAGATAAGAAACAACGACATAGGTGAAGTTAAGAACTTTAATAATAACATAGCGAAATACATAGAAAAGACAGTATAGAAAGAATACTGAGGACACTAACGACCCCATTACAGTCAATGAGAAGGCTGAAAAAAGCGATTGAAAAAGCGCAAATGTGATCAATTTCACATTTAATAAGCTTACCAAAGTGATAAACATACAAAAATAGCACATTTACCATCATACATTCAAAGGGTTCTTAAGGATAATAGAGATACATATATAAAAATAAAAACTTCACTCTTTTCAGTCAAAAGAACACATTACAGGAATTACAGAAAGTAGTAGTTGTGAAGAGATATAATAGTGAGTATATCCAGTAGGGTTAAGTGGCATTGAATCTAGGCTTGTTAAAAAAAACAAAAAAAAACAGTACACTTAGCTATTCTACTACAGTGTACAAATTGAGGAATATTCAATTCATTCCAAAAATAGATGGACGTAAACTAATTTTTATCAAGTTAACATCATATTATGACATAACATATTATAACATCAATATATGACCCACAAAGATATGTAAAGCATTTCTTCTGCACTTGTGTTTTCCAGCTGTATTTTTTAATCTCACTTTGAACAATTACAACGAATGACAGGGATATGCTAAAATACTATTTTTCTTTATTTCAATAACTTGATACAACTGGGAATGAAAGCTCTGTTTTTGGTAGAAGCACCACCTTGATGATAAAGGCACCTGATCCGAGGGTATATTTTCTCACATTTTGGTCTTCTCTAGCTAGTACAATTGAATATTTTTTACTGCTAATTCCTATACAAAAAGGTCATTTATAAATTATGCAAAGAGCATTGATACCACATTAACTCTTAACAAAAGTTATTAACTATTCCAACAAACCAGCAGCAGGGTATTACAATACACCAACAGTAAAATTCAACATGGCTGATAACAAAGGATGAAAAAAAAGGTGTTATCTTTACTTTTTTTTTGTCTTTTTGAAAATGTTATATTTTTCTTCTTGTAAACAATAAAAAAAAAAGCACACTTAATAATAGGAAGAGTATTGGGAAGTTAATGTTTGCTACTCTATTACAGTACAGGGAGCATAACTATCCTTAACATGTTACACAGTTTATCAACAAACCATAATATTTAAAGTTTTCAGTAAAAAATTTCAGACCAGTGCTCCGAGACTTTAAAACCAAAATTTTATAACAATCATAAATACATTTCCTGCACAATTTTCTTGAACATTTGGTCAAATACACAATAAACAGTAAGTTTTAAAGATAACAATACATATTTAACTAAATATTCTTGTTGTTAATTAACCAATTCTTTAATTTTTCTACCCATTACATGATATTTATTCAACATATTTTAAATTCATCAAACAACTGCCAGAATGGACAAATATTCAAAGTTGTTTTATTTCTTTTTTTCTAAGGCAGCTTCCCAATTCAATCAGTAGAATGTCACACACATGAATATAGTATTTTTTTAGAAATATGTAAAAATGTGATTATCTAAAACAGACTTGTGTATAAATATCTTTACCCTCTTTGTTCTTATTTCACTAAATATGCTTATAAAAACACAGTAATCAAATATTACTAATGAACTTTCACACAAATCAACTGTTCTAGACACCCAAACATTACTAGACACTAACAGGAGATTCAAAAAAGATGAGCTAGAGGGGGAGGGTGAAATGATTTGGAATAAAACAAAAATTATTAAGAGTAAACATTTTGAAGCAAAAAACTATGTGAAACAATAAGATTATAATTTTATTTCTAATGAAGCCACAAGAAATAGAAAATTGTTCACAAGAAAAGGAATACCTCAATAAAAATGGACAAGCTGTTATGTATGTATGCTACAATCATGCATGCATATAACTACTTATAATGCAGCAAACATTAGTCAGCAAATAAACCAGAAGAAAATTAAACTTCCAAACTTGTAAAATTTTAGCTAAGTTCATATGACCTTAGCATTCTTTGGTTTTGAGCCAAGTGATAACTAGACTGGGTATATGTAATACACTCTCTCATACAGACCAATTACAAGGTACAAAGAATTCAATGAATAGAAATATTTCAGTGTTATGTATTCTTGATTATGCTTATGAAAAACATTGTTATTAGATATGAAAATAGAGATTTACAAACACTGAAACAGCCATTAGCTACAACCACTTATAGCTAGATTACAAAAAAGAGAGAGAAAGCCTGCAAAAATACAGTCTTATTTATAATATAAAAAAAAATTTATACATGACATTAAAATAAGCTGCACAAAATACATGTCTTGATATAAAGTATAGATGCCAAGAAAGTTAAAACCCATAAACACCTACAAAATGTCCCTTCCCAAATGGTTTTGTAAAACTATTTTCAGCTCTGTTAGAAATTAAGTTTTATTATGACACTAATCTATGTAGAACTTCTCACAGCACGGCAGTGATTGTCCCACAGAGTTAGGCCAAGGTCCCAAGTAGATAACTATTAAGGAATCATTTCTACTGAAAATGCAGTAGCAATGTTGTTCTACATTCTGGTCATCTGTGTCATGCACAAAAAAGCCAGAATAAAGATCATTTTCCAATTCAGACCTTGTTTCCTGGTTTATAAAATGTAACATCCACTGGAACAATTTGCAGGGGTGAAAATGGTCAGTTCAAATAGTGGATTTGGAGAAAGACACTCTTAGATGACTGGAGTCTGCTAACTGGTAATTGTGCATTTTCTGTAAAACAGAGCAATTTCATACGTCGATCAGCAACAATTTCATGAGGTATTAAATATTTATATTTTTAGTTTTATCTCCTTCAATGAGTGTAGTCATAAAATTCCTTACACATTAAATAAATTTTGTGAATTTTTATACATCTGTATTATATCTAAGCAGAATAATGTTTGACACTGCATATTCCATTCTAGACTTTTTTACAGTCTTAAAACCATTAAGTTAGAAAGACAATTTTTTCTTGATAACTTCATCTTGTTTTATATTTTTCACAAAATATCTAAATAATTAATATTTCAATGCATGTATTCATCTTTCAAGCATCATCACACACCAAATCAAAGTGTGAACCATATACTCATCTTACTTTTATGTTTTCATACTATTCTTCATAGGGAAGTTCTTATTCCCTCCTTCGTACCTCACACTGTAACTTATTCCTAGTCCTATCTCTCATACCGACTCTCGTAGTCATGTGATATGAATCACTTTCTTAATTCTAGCACATGTCTCATAATGACTTTTTATTCCTATCTTATATTTCCTCTTCCTCCTATCATATTCAATTTTTACATACGCTAAAAAATTTGATAGGAACAAGTAATAGACATTCGTCTCCAATTCTGAGGTAGGATGTAATGAAAAACTGGTTAGACAGTAATTCTGTTTGAGTTGGTAAGGTACGAGAAATATGAATATTTCATATGACTTCACTAACAGATACTTTAATACAGATTCATATGTTGTCCAACTCATTCTGCAGGAAAGGAAGAACCTGTTTAACTTGTCACTAAACAAAAATAGTTCTTGCAATTTTTAACATATATAATTTACTACATCAACAGTAATTTTTATACCGATCTTTTTGAATGCACTTTAAACAAGGGTACTTTAGAGAGAAAAAAAATCCTATAAAAATGACTTAAAATATTAATTTATCTCATGGATAGGATTAATAGGGAACACTGCTTAAGCTCATATCCAACAGAACTAAGATAAACATTAAACACTGGTTAGGTTTCATGAAGACTAAAGAACTGAAAGACGTGATAGTAACTTTTATATAAGTAAAACAGAAATGAGAAATATGAATAGCGATGAATATTAACTCTTTCGCAACAGGCTCAGTATAATATACATGAGTTAAGTACTTATACTATAACTTTTAACACAGTAAGTGTATCTTCACAAAATTTGGTAGACTTTTAGTAAAGATTACAAGTCTTTTGTACACAAAAAATCAAGTTTATTTCATTATCAGTCCAAGTGCAAATTGATTTTCATGTTATAACTAAAAAAACTACTATTCATCCCAAAAATCTCAAATATTATTTGTGTAATCTCTAAAACCTCCTAAATACAATTTTCCAGTAAAACTATTTTCTCTACCCTAACTCTATGGGGTCTGTCAATTTCACCAGCTTCATAACACCCATAAAAAATTAGGAAATAAATATCAATTATGCTTTTTTCATTCTACGATGACTAAAGATTTAAACACGAAAACACAAATGTTTAGTCTAAATACCTTAAATCTCATAACATTATACATTTATATATATTTATTATACTGATCTTCCAGCAATGCCTGGCTAACAAAACAGAAGTTACAATGATATGGTGCACATACACTCATATTACCATATCCAATAATATAAAACTGACCTTTAGTCTTTACAAAGTGACTGGTCTTGGCTGTGTTTTAGTAGACTAGTATTTTATAAAATAGTCACATTTCAATTATTATACATTATATATTTATATAGATTATTACTATTCAGAAGTAAAGAAAACAATTATGACCTTTGTACTCGTTTCCTGCTTGTCATAGGTTGCTAAGCCTTATGAAATTTCCCACAGGGAGAATGTGAAAAGAATTTTTTTTTTAGATTCTATTTTACATATACATTTTAAATGACCAAAAGAAATCATAAATTACTATATTAATACCATAGACTTCTACCGTAATTTATCAAGCTTAGTAATTAAGCTGTATTTGGGTCTAAAAAAATATGAAATTTCAAGCTCACTAAAGACTTATCTTTTGAACTCTTGTGTGAAAACAATGAGGTTAATACAATAACACATCAAAATGGCTGAGAAAACCACTCTAGGGACATTCTGAGCTTTTGATTGGTTATTCATGTCATATATAGAAGTAACTGTATATAAGGGAGCATTTCCAAAAATGGAAAGAGGTGGGCAACAGCCACTGTGTTTTGATTCAGTAAATGAGCAATATCTTAGCAAACAGAAAAGACAAGCGGTTATAATTTTATATTCTAGCTTGTCAATATTGGTAATTTGAGTTCCTAATTCGTACAAACTATAGACTTTGTATTTTGACATCACAAACATCTAATTTGAACCAATGCTGCATTCAACATATCAGGCAATACACAAAAATTGATGTTTAGCTGCATTTTTTTTAAAGTTACTTTTAAATTAACTAATTATAATTCAAATTTTAGTATTATACATCTACAATTTAATACCAAACTTATTGGCATAAATTCATAAAATAGCAGTTCAATAAAATTTTGAATGCAAGTTAACAAACGTGATGACATGGCCTTTGACATGTGACCCATCTCGATAGGGTTAAACATCTTACAAAACAAAGCAACACATTTATCACCCTTTTAGTACTAATTCATATATTTAAATTATGTAAATTAAACCAAAACACTTATAGCTTATAACGTTCTGTTCCTGATGATAGAATAGTATTTTATTTCACTTGCTACATTTCCAATATTAAAGAAATATACACTCAAATCATTATAAACATTTCATAATTACAAAAAGTAATGAAAATAAGTAAAATAATTATGGTATAAAATAAAAAAATATATACAAATCAATCTTTCTTGGATACTACATGGATTAATTATATCCATTTAATGCAAGAATTCAGTTGCAAAATCAATATTATACAACTTACAATCAAGGCAATCACTGATTCTTCAACAGATCCCATCTGAATTAAAGCCATCTTCCTATCCTTCCTACAGAAAATAATATATGGTTTTGTAACACAGCAACTGCATATATTCAAAAATGTCTCATAGTTTCAATAGCAAAAACCATACTAAGAAGCTATACAATATGCTTGACTGTCAGATCTCAACCAATGATGCAATAAACAGCCAATTACATTGTTCACAGCATGCCTAACTGACTAGAGGAAGTGTGCTTTTTGTACACCTTTATTACACATATTCTGAGAAAATTTTGTAACTGATCTTATGTGATTTTACTGATTTCTCAAAATGAAGAGTTAGTGTTTTATACGTACAATAATTATAATAAAAAATACACACGGTTTACACTAAATATGTTATCTTATATTTCAACAGCCAAACCAGTACATTCATGATCATTACTCTGTTCATGTTTATTTAGTATATCCACTTTTACTGCTACTGTCCCTTCAGAAATTGAGTTGCTTTAGCTTTTATACACCATTTACAATAAAAGATAACCGTGTTGTACTGTCTTTATTTTCAACTCTGTGTCACTTTTATTGTCTACCCTCTCCCTGATCAGTTTATTAACTCTCTCACTATGGACTCGGTCCAAGGGATCAACCTCGTAACTATCTTGTGCTTGTTATATTTTTCATGCTATAACTTTTAATACAGTATGCATATTTTCCCAAAATTTTGCAGATTATCAGGAAACATTACAAAGCTTTCATACACAAAATATCAATTTTTTTTTATATTAAATTTTAAGATTTTGTTAAGTAATGATTTGTTCATGCATTTTTCTTCTTGAATGTTGATTTTCCAACATACAAAGTAATTTTGGTTTTAAGATTAAAATACTTTTATACATCAGAAAAAATTCAAATTTCACATGGAAATTTTTTATAACCTCCATATAATTGTCAAATGTTTTTTTTAGAAAAAAACTTTAGATGTTTCTGTTGTTTTCACTATTGTATCTGTATAGGTTTGGTTGATTTGACCGACCTTGTAACCACCATAAAAAATTGGAAATAGGTATAAATTTTCGTTCTATAATGATCCCAAATTGTAACATGAAATCACAAATGTTTAGTTTAAATAGCTTAAATCTTATAACATTGTATATATATAAAAATTTATTATTTTTATTTTATTGACCTTTCAGCACTGTCTCACTAACATTACAGAAGTTGAATGACATAGCGCATGTGCACTCATGTTACCATATCCAATAATATAAAACTGGCCTTAGCTGTGTTCTAGTGGACCAGTATTTTATAAAATACAACAACACTTTGGTTATAATACATTACACACACATACATATGTTATTACTATTTACAAATAAGTTATTAAATTTCAGTTCTTTTTCTTAAAACATAGAACAGTAAATAAAGAAGTATAGAAAACAATTTTTCTTCCAGTTACAAACTTT